TTTAATATATTGTTTCTAATAAAACTACTCAAATTTGCTATTATAAAAATAATTTATAATTCTACATCTAAATTAGCCACATGTGCAATTATGAAAGGTGATATATATATATATATATATATATATATATATATATATATATATGCATTCATTAGTGTCAGAGATATGGGCCAGGGATACTTGCACCGCCCGTATATATGACTACCACCAAGCTATCAGGCCAGCAGCCGTCAAGGAGGAGGCCCGCAAGGGCTGACGCGATTAACCAACGCGGGGGTCAAGGCAATCCAAGGCATGCGTATCTGGATGATAGCGAGGATCATTCTGTTGCAACAAACTAGGAAACAACCTGTTAACCCGATCGTCCTCTCTGTAACCCGACCTCTTCTGCCTATATAAAGGAGGGTAGGGACCTTAGGCTCGGGATCCAATCTTCCACCAATTTCATCTACCTCGTAGCTAGGAGCAACAGCCCCTGCAATTGAGCATACGAATACAAGAGCAGCCGCACCACTAGAGTAGGGATTAGTGTGTACCACGCCCCAAACCAGTATAAATCTCTGTGTCTCGTGTGCTACCATCTGATTTCGTCTACGCGATTATGTTGCTGGATATTGCCAGATCAAAATAATCCAACAGTTGGCGCGTCAGGTAGGGGCCTTTTCGCGTTCAGATTTGTTTTTGTGTTTTAGATGGGAATCGTCTTTGACTCCAGCGATGAACCGGAGAAGATGCAGCCGGGCACGAGGATCGTCTTCAGCCAGCTCGACTTCATCGCCGACCGGTTCGGGGACCTGCGCCTGCGGGAGCCCGAGCCGACCGAATGGGAGGAGGAGCAGTCACTCTAGATCCGTGCTTTCGCCGCTGGACTGGAGAAGGCTGTCAACGAAGGACCGCTCGCCATCGCCCACCATCTAACCTGCCACGGTTAGCTTTTCGCCGAACCCGACCAAGAGCCTAGACTCAACGCCACCCTTTTCTTTCGCATGATCGGGGATCCAGTCTCGACAACGGATGCGGTACCCGATCCGATTCATTCCTGATCCTCGAGAGTGCCAATACATGCGGTGATGACTCGCCCGAACCAACCCCTTCGGGCTGTCATGCTATTTTCCGGATCTCTTACGAACAAACCGAAAAATCCACGTCATACTGATGGGGACCACCACAATGATGACTTTGACTCGAACCTAGTCTGGGTCACCATTCACAATCTCGGCCAGGGCGAAACCATCCTTGAACAATCGGACTACTCCGACGAGAGCGATCGGCACCCTGACATGGGAGCCACCGAACTCATTAGCACAGCGGCTTCGCAACTTTCTCTCCTCGACCGTTACTGGCCACGTGGAGCTAGCCATCCGAATGTTGACGATGATTACATCATCTCGCATACACGCAGTTGCTACCTCGGTGTGAACAATTACGAGGGGAACGGGTATGTCACACCCGAATGTTCCCCCCACGATCATGTCGAGTTTGATTATGCAGCGCCTTACGAGACCAGCCAGCAGGCCTAGGATCATCTGTTTAATCACAACGACATGTTGGCAGAAGAAAATCAGAAACTACGACGCTAGCTCCAACAGCAGAACATCGCTCGGGGCCGTCAGGCCCACAATGATATTCTGCAAGCAGCTCTGGTATATTATAACGCCGAGCAAAACTTGGCCGAGGCCATGAGGGAAGCGGCGGCGATGCCGCAGCCACCCACCGAAGAGGGCCGATAGGCTTTCCAAAGAATTCAAGAGCTAATAGCGGCCGCTGCCGACCACATACCAGTACCCAGCGATGCGTCTGCTACACGTAGCCGTGTACCCTGAAACTCGAGGGCTCAACCGCCGCGCTGTTGGTATAAATTAATGCACACAGAATTATCCGCAAGCACACAGATATTATACTGTTGTAGCACTTCATCGAGAATAACCTAGTTTTATATCGAACCCAAAGGAACAGGAGTGAGAATAACTAAGTCTTAACTTAACCCAACTTCACAACCAAGGTTAGATAATAGGAGCATAGAGGAGATTGCTAAGGTCTTCTAGTTCTAACTTCTATAAGCTTTGCCTTTTATTGTTCAGTTCTGAGGATATTACTAGAGAAAACACAGGCAGAGTATGTTTTCTATAGTAACAAAGTCTTGCTAGGCCTACTAACGGGAGGTGGACTACAAAGGATTCAACGAGACTATAAGAGTCACCCTTGCGAGCTACCACCGATCCAAAAAATAGGGTACATCTACGAGTAACCGAGTCTAAGCACCACACTTATACTACGGATACTACTTTAATCTAGGAGCTACAAGGATTAAAGTACTCAAAAGAGGGTCACAAATCTGAAGAACAATATGAACAAGATACTTACTTGAATTAGAAGTCGATTACCAGAGAAATCTCAGAAGAAAGCTCAAGAAGAACTTGATTCTACCTGGGTACAAGCCGTAGAGAGAGCACCGACAGGCCAGGAATCCTCCAAACCGTTCCCTCTCACTCTATCTCACTATTTTTAATACAAGACTACATCCTATAGAGGACTAATCTTCTCTTGATTGCTAGCTCTAGATCCTGGTGGACATATGAATTAGGGTTTCGAGCTTCTTAGCTCTCAGGATCAAATGAGACATGCCCTGGGGGGTGCAGGCTGGTATATATAGGTCGGAGTGTCAATCCTGGACCCTTGGATCAAACCGACTTGAATAAATGGTGGAGATGCAATCCTTAAGGCAGTGGAGAACCGACATAGCAAGGAGGATGATAGCCGGCCAGCCCCACCTGGCAGTGGCTCATGCCCCACCTCGGTGGAGAGCCTCTTGGAGTCTTCTAGAGTCTTCCCACATCGGTTACGTGGTGGAATTCCGTGATTTCCTCTGACAAATAGGTCCTCTTTGACGGTTTTCTCATTAAATCCTGCTAGAAACATAGATTCACCAAAACTCGTAGAATTTATCAGTTTAAACCCCTAAATCTATATTGATGATCCATTTTAGTTATTTATGCAAGTTATATTGATGGTTTATGATGAATGTTATCTACCGTCAACAAACTCCCCCACAATTAGACTTTTACTCGTCCTCGATAAAAGGATGGATTATTCAGGACATAACCTTGGGATAAGATATCAACATAAAACCAGCCCCAGTCATGCATGCTCTGCAGGATTCAAAGTGTCTACCATAAAACTTTGGGCGTTTAAAGAATAGAACAGCTTGAAACAGATCACCATCTTCCTTCAGTCAAGTCAATTAGAGAAATATTTTATAATTTTGAAAACAAAACATAGCTTACCTTCTCCTTTTGTGGTTCTCTCAAATCACTAAGCATCTTCATAAGTTTTTCAACAAGTGTGATATACCTTGGATTTAGCTAGTTTGGCACTCTCACTATAATGGCAGCTTTGCACTACATAATAGGAAGGGTTGATTTTGGTGGAAAGAAGTTCTAAAGTTACTTGACTCTTACAAGGGCATGGCTTCAGTTATACGCCATGTTCGCTTGGCTTATAAGCCATATTTTTTCAGCCAACGAACATTATTTTTCTCTCACAACAAATCAGTCTTTTTTGCACAGATGTCTGGCATGGTGTCCCTCTGAGTGAACAATGGCCACACTTATTCTCTTTTGCTCAAGAGGAACATACTTTGGTTCAACAGTTCCTGGCTATAGAAGATAAGTCTATCTTTTTTCATGTTCCTCTTTCAATTGAGGCACATGAACAGTATCAAATGATGACCTCTGAACTTGATGACATTCACCTCACCCAAAGCAAGGACATATGGAGTTACATATGGGGTCCTCTCTTTTTGCTTCAAATAAGGCTTATTCTCATCTGTTGGGTTCAATACCAGTGCCACCAGCATATAAATGGCTGTGGAAATCAAACTGTTTGCCAAAGAGGAAGGTGTTCTTTTGGCTAGTTTTAAAAGATCGACTAAGTACCCGGGAAATTTTAAAAAGGAAAAATATGGAACTGTAGAGTTACAATTGTGTTCTCTGTCATGTGGACATAGAGGAATCCTTACACCATCTCTTCTTGGACTGTCCATTTGCTATGTCTCGTTGGAATTTGCTGGGGCTAGCACACCTAATTCAGGGGAACATTTTTTACGGTCTTGATTTGTTCAAAGTTCAAATACACAGGACTTTCTTCATGAAAATTATTGTTGCAATGTTTTGGGCTATTTGGTCTGCCAGGAATGATGCCATCTTCAAGAATCAACAGCCCTCTTTGCAAGCTTGCAAAGTAGTCTTCAAACAAGAATTAGCTAGAGTTAAACTCAGAGCTAAAGATGATCTTCGATTACGGTTACAACTAGGAGAATACCCCGTGCGTTGCTGCGGAGATTCTAGATAATTTAGACTATTTATATTTATAGTTATATGAATAAAACTATCTTAAATTAATTTTCGTGAATGGTTTGACACATCTATGTGGACAACTAAGTGCATGTTACTAGATGAAGAGATAACCATCATAATTACATGTGCTAGTTGGCTATAATTATAAGTTCTAGTGGATTGTTGACGTGGATAGCTTGCATGTTGAGAGAAATCTCTAGTATGGTTTAGCTTTATAAGAGTATAGAATTATGTCCGGACAGCTATATGTAATTTTGCTTATTTTGTTTGTTTCATTCTTTGTCTCCTGTTTTCTATATGTACTTGGCAAACTATGTTTAATAAAGTGCAGTAGGGGGCAACCCCTCCTGTTTTCTCTCAAAAAACATACTGCCCATTTATTTAAGCTGGGGCATCTATATATCAGTAGGGCAGAATTCCTAATGCCTTGCCGTACTCGACCACGTTGTCGTATATCTCATCCAGGGTGTTGTGCCTGTACTGAAACCCTTCCCGGACCAGTTTCTCCGACGACACGCTCACTCTCGGCCTCTCCTCATCGTCGTCGCTGCAAATAAAGTGTCAAAAATCAGAGCTGGAAACCCCTGCAAACATAATATCCACAGCGCGGAATTGGGGCCGGCCGTTGCCGTTGCCGTTGCTTACAAATTTGTTTTCACGCCGTACTGCGGGTATTTTTGTGCCAGGAAACGCGCGAGCTCGACGAGGGTCGTGCCGAGGCTGCTGCAAATGTACCTCCCATCGGCCGCCGCCTCCTCTGCGAGGAACAGCTCGGCGCGGCAGAGGTCGTCGACGTGGACCAGCTGCACCTGGCCGGAGTTCTTCTGGATGCCTTTGAGCATGGCGAGCCCTGCCTCGTCGCCTGAAGATCAGCAATCGATCGATCATCCACACGAACTGTATTGTTTTTTTTCTTTTAATCATTAAAAAGCGGAGAATTAGTTTGGCGGCAGCAGGATCTTGACTGACTCACCGGACAGCATGGAGAGGCAGTCGACGATGCTCGAGCGGGCCTTGGGTGCCGGCGCCGCGCCCACGACTATGACGGGAAGGACGGTGACCAGGCTGATGCCGTGCTCCTCCGCGAACCTGCACGCTTCCTTCTCCAGGAGCACCTTGGACACGCAGTGTACCTGCAAGCAAGCAACACAGGTCGCCATCAAACTGACCTAGCAGTGGCCGACAGGAGAAAATAGGCAGTAGCATCGATGGAGAATGGGTGCAGAATCATCGGACGGCGGACCCAGATTGGTGGCTTGTTGGCTCTGAGGTACTCGACGTCAGACCAGGAGTCCTCGTCCAGCACATGCCCATGCCCGTCGCCTTGCAGGTCTGGCCTGATGTTGTCTACTGCGGCCACCGACGAGGTCAGGATCACTCGCCGCACCGTCCCGGCCTTCACGCACGACCTCATTGCGTTCAGCGTTCCTCGGACGGCCGGCTCGATCTGCTCTTTCTGCCATCGGGCATCGGCAAGCAAACTAAAAATCAGTTCTTTTTTCTCTGAAACCACCCAACTGATGGAGTGAAAAGAGGTATCGATTGAGCAAGCCCAGATCGACACAAGGGATGTTGTCGTATGTAGGACAGAGTCAGAGTGAGTTGCGGTTATGTGACAACGACGACTCACGGTGTGGTGAGTGGTGACGATGTTTGCGCACCTCTGGATCCTGTGCCTCGAAGTTCAGCGGGGCGGCGACGAGGAAGACGTAATCGCAGCCGGCGACGGCGTCGTCGAAGCTGCCTTCTTCGTCCATGTCGGCGCGGAAGACCGTCAGCGGTCCAAGCTCCTGCAAGCCCTTGAGGTGGGAGTTCTTCTCCATGTCATCTGGGGTTTCAGAATAAAAAAAAAACCAAACCAAATCAAGGTCAATTCTAAGCATGGGTAGGGCCGTGGTGGGATTCACAATCACATCACAACCACCACCATCTATCTGCAACAGTAAAAGCATTTGTGCGCCTAGCTCAAATACCATATTCTAGGATTTCTTTATTGCTGTTGAACCATAAAATCAGAAACCTCGTTTTTTTAAAAAAAAAAATCAGAAGCCACCCAATCAGAATTCAGTGATAAAACCGTTGAAATCCTTGTGCTATTTTTACGCACGTTCCAATAAAGGTGCCGCGCCGTTACCTGCACAGCTCTGCAAGCCCGGAACAGCAACAACCACGAAATCCCTCTGTACATGAAAAGGAAGGTCAAAGAATCAAACCGGGGTTCCTGACCGTCGTCTTCACGGCATAGCCCTTCTCCAGCAGCAACTTGATGAGTGCGGAGCCGATGTACCCGCTCCCTCCAGTCACGCACGCCGTCTTCTTCTTGTTGCTGTCGCCCGCGGACGACGACATATCGCCGGCCATCAACGCAACGCTCCCTCGTCGTCGAGTTGTCGATGCTGCTTGCCGGTGACTGTCCGTCAGTCCAGCAGCCCGATTAATTGATGAAATTAGTTTGCTAGGACTAGTAGCTATATATAGTTTGGGGCGAGATTAGTTTTGAGAGGACTGGTAACTTTGATCAGCCTGCCTGATCGACGAAAAGACAACAACCTATGTAGCACGTCGTCGACTTTGATATGATGCACAAATTATTCAAACTTGTGTCCTGCGGGGTTGGATTCTAATCTAAATTATTCACTACGGAAACACGTGATTTGCCGAGTGCAAAAATCTTTGCCGAGTGCTAAATTTCGGGCACTCGGCAAAGACCTGCTTTGCCGAGCGTCGCACTCGGCAAAATATGACACTTGGCAAAGAGGTATTTGCCGAGTGCCTGGCACTCGGCAAAGACCTGCACTCGGCAAAGGCGGTCTTTGCCGAGTGCCTGGCACTCGGCAAAGGAAGACACTCGGCAAAGATTGGTAGGGCTTAACGGCATCTAGCGACGTCCTCTTTGCCGAGTGCCCCCCGTTTGGCACTCGGCAAAGAATTTACTTTGCCGTTCTATAGTTTATTTTGTTTTGTTGAATTTTTCTAGAAAATATAAGTTTGAACTGCAGGTGCATCGAATAATGGATTACATTCGTTCAAAAAATGTTATCCTTGTTTCTTAGTGTAAATTTAGGCTAAATCCAGGAACTGTCTCGAAATTTCGATCAACGTGCTCATGGGGCAACGCCGCCAACCTGCGTGGGAGTGGTTTTTTAATCATATAAAATGCGAGCGAATTCCGAAAATCATGAAACTTGTCGAGTTGTCGCTATATCGTATGCGTATGCCGTGAAAAAAATTTGAAAAAGTTTCGAGCACGTTGTCACGTACGATGCTCACAAACCAGGACATCTCCACATGTGATCACAACTCGACAAGTTTCATGATTTTCGGAATTCGTTCACATTTTATACAATTAAAAAACCACTCCCACGCAGGTTGGTGGCGTTGCCCCATGAGCACGTTGATCGAAATTTCGAGATAGTTTCTGGATTTAGCCTAAATTTACACTAAGAAACAAGGATAACATTTTTTGAACGAATGTAATCCATTATTCGATGCACCTGCAGTTCAAACTTACATTTTCTGAAAAAATTCAACAAAACAAAATAAACTATAGAAATATGCCAAAAGTCAATGAAAATGTCCCAAATTTAAACATGTTGTTTGTGGTAGTGTACTAAAGCTTCAAAAAAATTGGTGGCAAAACAAAAAAAAAATTATTTTGCCGAGTGCCTAGGGTTGGCACTCGGCAAAGTAAATTCTTTACCGAGTGCCGCCCAGCTGGCACTCGGCAAAGAGCTGCTGAAATTTTATTAAAACTTCGCCGAGTGCCAGATCACGACACTCGGCGAAGAAAATTGACTTTGCCGAGTGCCGCCGATCTGGCACTCGGCAAAGCCGCCGTCTCCTTCAACCGTGCCCGGCCGGTGCGCTCTTTGTCTCGTTCTCTCGTTCCTCTCTCCCTCTCACCTCTCTCTCCCTCAGCCGCCACTGCCGGCCACCGTGCCTCCCCGCGCCAGCCACCGCACGCCCCCGCCCCGGCCACCGCGCGCCACCCCACCGCGATCACCCCGGCCCGGCCACCGCTCCACCCCGCCCCGGCCAACGCGCGCCACCCCACCGTGGCCGCCCCGGCCCGGCCACCGTGCCACCACGCGCCGCCCCGGCCACCGCGCCACCGCAGAAGAGAGGAGGAGGAGGCAGGGGAGAAGAGAGGAGAAGGGGAGAAGAGAGGAGGAGAAGGAGAAGGAGAGGAGAAGGAAGGTGCCGGCATAGGCCCGTCAACCCTCACGCCGCTGCGGTCATCCCCGCCGTCGTCGCCGACCCTCGTCGCTGCCATTCTCATCGCGAGGGTATGCCCTACACCTGTAGTAGTTAGTAGTAGTACTTAGTAGTGTTAGTAGTAGTTAGTAAGTAGTAGTAGTTAGTAGTTAGTAGTGTTAGTAGTATTGTTAGTAGTAAGTAGTGATAGTAGTAGTGTTAGTAGTAGTAGTGTTAGTGTTGGTAGTAGTTGTAGTGGTAGTAGTACTTGTTGTTGTACTACTTCGATACTTTCATCTACATGGAAAGAGAACTAAAGTACATGGCTCGTCTTGATATATATATGTTTGTTGGCCTTCGTGCCTATGTTTGGTATATATGTGGTTGTTGGCCATCGCGCCTACGTTTCTTGCAGGTTTTGGAAACCTCCCCGTGCAGGGGAGGTGCTGCCAAAATTTTCAATGGATTCTAACCTATAGCCTTTTTATGTAGGAGAAGGACCCGTGGGAGGGACTCGACGACCCCGATCGTCTTCGTCGGCGCTGCTGGTCTGCCTGCACCGCATCGCCTCGCCACTACACCAACACGCCACTGCCTCGCTAGCCTGACTCCACCGCCACCCTAGGTATAACCCCCTCCTCCTTTGCATGCATGTTTTATATGGTCACGTAGCCCAGTTAGGCGTCTCCCGTTCGAAAGAGATACGGTCGGAGGTATGTAGATCTTTGCATATCTACGACCGTATCTCTTTCGGATTGTCCACGTATTTTGGACAGCCCATGGATGCGTAGATGAGGTTAGTTTCCATGGTTCGCTCTGGTCCGAGATAGACTTTCGGCATCACCTCCCTATTGTTCTTCGGATACACACTCTCCCTTGCAGGATGTGTATTGGGAGAACAGCGGGGAGGTGCTGTCGAAATTTTGTCTCGGATAGGAGCGGAGCATTGAAACTGACCTCATCTACGCATCCGCGGGTGGGATTAGGACCTATCCTCACCTATTAGATGGTAGAACGCCGTGCAGATGCAATTGCTGGTTATATTACTCGCTTATATGCCAGAGGATGGAGAACCGTGATTGTATGTACACGGGCCACGCAAGTATGACCCCAGAATGGATGACTAAGACTAATGCTTTCTTGGAGCATTCATTTGGCGAGGCTGCTAGAGGGTCGAGTTGGATGCCGTGTCCCTACAGCAAATGTGACAACCGTGTAAGAAAGAATAGGAAGAACGTGGGGGAAGATCTTTGCAAGTATGGATTCACGCCAAACTATACCTGCTGGATCCACCATGGTGAAGCCGATCGTATTAGAGAGGAGGTGGTGAGACCACGCCTCGAGGCTTTTGATGGAGATGCGGGGGTAGCAGACTGGATGGATGACTTTCAGGAGGCACGGTTCGGTGAAGGATTAGAGGACGAGCTGAGAGGAATCGCAGGCGTCTTTATGATATGTTGTCTTTGACACGAAGCCCCTTCACGAAAATACAATGGTTTCGCAACTAGATGCCATTGGACGCCTAATGGCGTTCAAGTCACAGTGTAGCATGAGTCGAGACAACTTCGATGGTATGTTGGCAGTTGTTGGATCCTCGCTTCGGAGGGTCATATTCGCCAAGAACTTGTACGAGTCACGAAACTTCTTCATGCCCTTAAGATGCCGTAT